CGGCGCAACAAAATTTGACCAGATTTGACTTAAAACATTCTTGTCTTAAGGTTTCTAAATTTATACAAATTCTACCAATGAAACATGGCAACTACTGTCAACAAATACCCAAATATTTTTTAAGTCTTTTTATAAGCCCCCCTCCCCAATTTTGGACCTACAGTTTTGGGCCACCTGATCTTGCATTCAGTTATGAAGTCGACGTCAGTCACATAAGTAATCTCATTCCCATTCGCGTCTCTTTTTGCTTTGTATGATCCGTGTATATTTCATATATATGTTCTAGACAATATAGACTATGTTATTGTGTCGTAGTATTCCATGGAAATCTAGACACACAATTTGTTGGATTATTTTCTTGACCAGGCAAGTGATTAGCAAGCCTGTTTTTAGATCTTGTAAAATTATTTTTTTTTACAGTCTTTCCATATAACTGAGTTTTCTCTTTTCTGCGACCTCTCTTGTGACATAAATTGTTAGAGGGTCAGCCTCAGATGCCTGAGGCCGCGGGTTTGAACCCCAAATGAGTCATACCAAACGTAAAAAGAGTACTAACATTTGCCTGGCTTTGGCGCTCAACGTTAGGATAAGAGATTAGTGTTAGGACTGGTCGGCCTAGTGTCAGGATAATAGATTGTGTAGGACATAAAGTTACATGTTTCCGGCATGATACACCAGTGATAAAAATCACTATAAATTGCGAAATTGTAGATTTTGTAACGATATGATTGAAAAGGTGTTAAAGCTACGTTAAGAATCCAAATCTCTCTCTCTCTCTCTCTCTCTCTCTCTCTCTCTCTCTCTCTCTCTCTCTCTCTCTCTCTCTCTCTCTCTCTCTCTCTCTCTCTCTCAGAAATTATGTAGATACTTATATTAAGATTTAGCCTTGGTTGTGAAAGTTTTTTTTTTCTTTATCTATTACACAAAAATACGGGATATTTGAAATTGATATCCGAAACTAGCATACGGGGCCCTGATGACACCAACTGCCAGGCTGAATATAAAAGTGTCATTGACATTAGTCGACCGTCATGCATTATCTGTTCTCAATCGCTGTTGACAACTCTTCTATACCGGTTTAGCTAAATTTAAAATTAGCATCCAGGCATACAATTCTTTTAAATTTATTGAATTGTGTAAAAAAAATGAAAGCTTTACAGGACTGCTCAATAGAATTTGACAGAAATGATCATGGTATGAGGTTCCTGCAGATCTGTTCAGATGGTACCGATCATCTGTCAGATATGGCTACCATCATTCAGAATAGTAATTTTTTTTATGATTTCTCAAACATTGCTCAGTAGCTTTTGATAAGTTTTATTTAAAGCGATCTATCCTGAAGTTCTTTCATATCTTTTAAAGTCATGCCAATCTTCTATCAAAATGACAACCATTACTAAAAATATTAAAACTATTTTTTCTTTATAAAAGACTTCTCAAAACGAAATTTGACAAAAACATCATGACATAATAAAGGTCTTTCGGATTTGTTCAAATGATGCCCATTCACCTTAAGATGATGCCGAGATTACATAAAATAGAATCACCTCTAAAGGATTTTCCCGAGAAAAACGCGCAACAGAATTTGACCAAATTGAAAGAAGCATCCTGGCTTAGATGAGTTTAAGTGTTTTTATATGATGCCGATCTGTCATCAAATATGGCTACCATAAAGAAAAATACAGTGATTTCTTCTTGAACTCAACTCAACCGAGTGGAGCGTCCTAGCATAAAGGGCTTTAAGATTTGTACAGATGATGCAAATCCACTATTAAATATTGATTTTGTTACTAAAAAATGTGACAAAACTTTCAAGTCGTCTTTTCTTACAAAGTACCAAGCAGAACATGGGCAGATTTATGACATAGCATTATGATAATAAGGACATAAAGATTTATAAAAATGATGGTAACTTGCCCTCTGATATGGCCACTATTATTAAAAATCATGAAAAATTCTTGAAACAATTTCTGTTCAAACATGTGCTTGAGAAATTGACAAAATTGTACAGAAAACATTCGGGCCTAAAATTATATCATTCCATTTTTAACACTGAGTAAATTACCAATAAACTATTAACAATATGTTGAATCTAGATGTTATCACATAGAAAAACTAAGTGTCCCTGATGCGCACCAGTAATTTTGTCTAAGTGTAACAATATGTTTATATGCAGGAAAAAGTTTTTACCCTGTGTCAAAGTTCATGCATTACTTTTTGTTATAGAGAATTCTTGGTAAAACCTGACCATATTTGTTAACTCTGTAAAATTGTAATGCAAGCATGGTTTCTTTTATTTAAAAAAATAGTTTGACGTTTGCTAGTATTGTCATGTTAAGCGCTTGAAACAATTGTTGCTTATATGCTATTACATGTATTGTGAATTACTTGAAGTTATTTTATTCGGAGCTATTAATCAGAAATTATTGTAAACGTATCTTTTATCTATTTTGAAGCTTCTAATAACCCAATGTGTCATACTCATGTAATAATATGCATGTAAGTATAAGGACAAAAACAATGCATAACCTTGAAAAGATAACAAGAAATCTGGTAGTAGAACGGTGTTGGTCATAATCATATGGTGGGGCTTAAATCTGTACCCTTCTGGTCACATGTCTGACTACTTAACAACTCAGTCCTGCAGCTCATTTGGGTGGGGATTTCAGTGATTTCCAAGTAATGACTCCATGGAGATGGTAAAGACAAACCGATGAATCCTTTCTGACTGCACAGGTTAAAACTCCACTTGTAATGTCAAGTATGTGTATTTATATTTTGGTTGTTAGGTCTAGGGGCTTAAACTAATTAATAAAAAAGGTAAAACCCAACCAATGTTTCAAAAGTTTATTTCCCTCAAATTTAAATTAAGCAAAGTAAACGTATAAAAATTAACTTACAGTGTATGAATTCCCAGAAGCATCGAAAACGGTTATTAAAACAACTTTGTTCAAAAGACAGACTTTGACTTAGTTCGATATCTGACATCCTAATTTAAAGGCCTTTCACTACTTGACGAATGATGCAGATGTGCACTTGTAAGCAAATATGGATCAAAAATATCAACATTGAAATAAAAGATTTCAAAACATTTGCATTCAAAAGAGTCAAAAGAATTTTCAACATAAATTGTCTTACTGGTCCAGATTTCTTGGTCAGCTGGTTATTAGCCAGATGCCAGCAAGGTGAACAATCTCGATCCCTTTTGGTACTCTTGCCTAACTCTTTGGACTTGTTGATCCTTCTTATGGGCATCCATGTTTTAAAAACACAGTTTGTTTACTAATGTCTCCAAGAACATGCGCACCATTTTACTCAAGGCTCGTCTCGCCATTTGAGGGACCCATTTTCCATTGCCTTATCCATACTATTCTTGCATGCTATGACGTGAATATGTTCAAAAAAACTTGAAATATAATTGATGTTGTACTCTTAGAAACCAGAGTGTTTCATTAAAACCGTTCCCAATTTGTATGAAGGCGTGTCCATGACTGGAAAATGCATGATATGACGATGTTGATTATCGGAGACGTTGTGATTAGCTCATTAATTGACACTACGTTTGTTGTGTGACCCAGTTATCGAGTTTGCCTCGCTTATGCCATGCAATGTGAGCGTAACTAATGTAGATATAGCGCATGTACATTTTTAATTCTGTCAGATGAAGTATTTATGAATTATAAATTTGCCCCATAGATGGCTTTTTTCATCCATTTAGTTTTTAAAGATAGTAGCAAGGAAATTTTTATTTGCACGAGTAAAAATATCGCGCTAATTGTGGTCGTCAACTCTATACTTCTCATGTAGATTAGCGGTACCATTCTGGTTTATATCTTCTTGCCACTTCATATGGAATTAATTTACGCTTTCCCATATATAGCATTATAATTTAAATTTCATCCGACCTTAAGCAAAGTTAGCTTATGATATAGTCCTACGTCTGTCGCGCATGCTTCAGCAGTTGTTACTGTAAATTTATTCTCAAAACTCATTTGACCAATTTGGGCCATCCTAGATAATAGAACTTTAAAATTTAAACATAATGCCAGTCCGCTGTCAAACATGGCCATCGTCGTAAAATATGCAAAAGTCATGAAACGATTTATTTTCAAAAACGGCTGAACAGAATTCAATCAGATTTGATAGAGAGCATTTAAATGTGACCACCGTTGCTAAGAATAGAAAAGAAACTAAACTTGGCACATACCATGTTATCATAAAGAACTTTAGAATTTACTCATTTATGCCGATCCGCCATTAAATAGGACCGCAGTAACTTAATATAGTAAAACATTTAAAATGGCGTTTACTCTAAACCTCTGAATAGAATTTTACGAAACTTGACAGAAAGGATCCATCCACCGTCAAGTAAAAAAAGTTAATACTCTATTTAAATGACTTCTTCCGAAACCAAAAGATTTATTACACTTAATATAGTCACGTGAGCTTATAAACAGTAATCTTCGACGCAAATCACTGTAGTCTTCGTTAGAGTGTATGTTGATGCCGTTGCGTAAATTTTTTGTGTTACCAATTTACGATCTTCTCCTGTGGTCGATGGGATGAAATACAAATACAAAGTAATGTATTCTGTTATTAAAGCAGGTTTGATTCATGTTGGCGCAGCAGATAACGCAAACTGCTCGTTATGAAAGGAGATAGTTGAGGTCATCTGAAGGTATTTTCGGTTCAGTCTACGATTTAACACCCCCCCCTCATTAAAGGATGATACTTCTCTTTATTTCATGGTAAAGATGGAAGCAAGGATTTCATCGATACATTCTAAAGATTTTGATAATGATGCGAACGATCGAACAATATGTATTATGAATGATATATTGTAGAAGAAATTTTAAAATAATTTTCGATATAAATATCATACGTCTGAAATAGATTTTTTTCCTAGGTGTATCAGTTTGTGTTAAGTAAAATGAATTAGTACGAAATCATTCGAGTTGTTTTACAGAGAGTAATGCTCTGATAACCTTTTCTAACGCTCCGTTGGCTTAGTGGTATGAGCGTCCGCCTGGGATGCGGGAGGTCGTAGGTTCGATCCGAGTCATACCAAAGACTGGTCTGCCTGGTGTCAGGATAGTGTGAGTGGGTGGGACATCACGATACATGTCTGCGGCATGATGCCCCAGTGCTTGACATAATTATAAACTGCCACACTGCAGAGATTGTTGTGATGTGACTGAAAAATTGTTAATGCTACGTTAAAAATCACACACACACACACATACACACACAATTTTCCATGATAGCCAACACATCCGTTTTTTTATCAAATAATACGCTTTTATCCTTCGAACCCATTTTAATAATGATTCAGACAACTTAAGTTACAGAATATTTTTCATCGTTCTCAAAATCGTAAGCATGTTAGAGATTTAGTAACTAGGTGGAACCTAACATAGCAACCTACACCAAGTCAAGATTATGAAGCTGATATTGGGTTAGAAATACACGATTCTTTTCTTTTAATTCGCTACATTTATGACGAAATTAATAATGATGTTTCATGTCCAAAATCAAATTACTAAATACGTTAAAATTGAAGGAAAGCCAGGAAACAAAGGATCCAAAACAGTCAAGACTACTTGTGAAAGCTTAAAGGAATTGAATAAGCAAAAGACCCTAGACAGTTAGACTAGTTGGTCGTGTTCGTGTTCAGCTTTTTTTTTCTTTTAGCTTTTCCAATTTGATTTTGATGAAATTGTATGGATGCAATTGCACCTGCTACATATCTCCCGGCTATAGATAACCTCGGTTTTTTGTGACATCAGTTGGTATGTTTGAGAGTAATCAGCTACTCATTTGTTGTAATTTATGATTTAACTGATTTCCTGTAAGCACTTGACGTGCAAATGTGGTAGTAATACTTAAAAAATGTGTTTTGACTTGAATACAGCCACTCTTTTAGAACGCTTTTATGTTAAGAATCCTTGAGAAGCTTTTTAAGGTGACTTAATTTTAATGTGAAAGTTTTCATTCTAACATGCATTCTTATTGTAATTCTTAGGTTAAACGTCATCATTTTAGCACCATCTTTTAATAGTTTTCAAAATATGTTTTAGTATTAAAGATTTTCAGCCCAGACAAGAAGCATGGACTCAAATTTTAAGCAATTTTAATATATTCTAGAAGTTAAACTACAGCCGTCTGGCACTGGTAAGAAACACCCACCCCTACCCCATTATAATATTCACATTTAGTCCAAGATTGATGGTAGTTGGCAAAAACCTTTGGAATGAGACCTCTTATACCTATTTTGTACATTTTTATTCTTCGCAATAAGTCCTGGAAAGTCGGTCACAGTGACTCAATTTTGTTTCATAATGTGTTCATTCCAAGTTCCATTGTGTCAGTTTTATGTAATTAAGAGAAACAATATAGACGTTATAGCACGGTCATAGAAGACAGCTAGATGGACAGCGTCAATCCCATATACCATATGTTGACATGAAAGTGTAAAAAGAAAATACTCTGAGAAGCACGCGACTGTTGAATAAGAGCCATTATTCAAGGACTGCCTTCCTTTTAAAAATGAAGTGAAATGTATAAGAGGCTTAATTTAAAATTTTAAATTTCAGGTGCAGGAGGCTCACGTAATTAGGTTCACATTCAAGTAATATTCACGTTACTCACGTATAATAGCAATTTGCAGGTTAAACTGGGTTCAGATCGATGTTCTTCTGGTCGCATTGAACATTGAACTTAGCAAACGGTTGATAGGCAAATGTATTATTTGGATTTTTCACAACGTATGATGTAAATTGCCACAGTGATTTTAAATTTTTGAAAGTATGTTTTCTACCTGATTTATGTAAGCTATACGAAACTACATTATGTAGAACATATAACATCCAATATTTCCTGCAAGTTTGATAACATTAAGAGAAGTGGTTATATACATGTCAGAGTTAATGTTTCTCACCTGGCTGTCATCGAAACCAAGAGGCAGGTTTTTGGTAAATCATACCATAACAAATATAATATATTGAAGGCTTCGATTCTTTGATTAAATTTTCACAAGTGTATTTTCGGGATGGGTGGGTGTGAGAAATATGTGCAATACCTGGTTGTTTTGAAAGTTGTTGAACGGTTGCTGTAGATGTAATAGAAATCAAAACTTGCCAAGAATTATTCCTGAAATGTTTGACGAAATATGGCTGATATTATTAGATGTCAAAAATATTTTCTCGTCATGTTGTTATGGAAACTTAGATTCTGTTACTCTATAAGTTCTTGCCAAACATAAACGAATAACTTTTGATAGAGCACGTGCTATGTCTCACTTTCTTTGAAGATCCTTGCAGTCAGAACACTTCATTTATTGTTAGCTTTTTTCACAAAATGTATTATGTGTGGATTTTTTTGGTACCAAAATTCGTGTCATATTGAATTTTTTTTTGGTGGTGGTGGGGTAATATAAAAAAGAACAAAAGTCGCCAGAAAAGAAGCAGGTCTGCATGCCTTTTTCTTTCATGCATTTATAAACCCATACCGCTACAGCCTCATTCACAAAATTAGAAAGTCAGTTACGTAGCTTATCTATATAAAAAAAGGAAAAGAAAACGTCTAACAGAATTTGATAAAGTTTGTCACAAAGGGTCGGGTGTGGGGTTGTGGTGGGGCTTTTGATAGTTGACGGTTTGTGCTGATGTGCCATCAGGCATGGACAAGGTGGAAATAAAAAGTCAGACCTTGAGACTGTTTTCATAATGTCAGCAATCAGGAGCACTGGAAGACGTATCAACGGATATAATTCTACTTACCAAGATTTTCTGGCCAGCTGCTCTTGCGTTTAGGACCGATCCGGTGGCCTAATAGTTAGAGCGTCTGCCTCAGATGCGGGAAGTCGTGGGTTCGAACCCTTCCCCTCCATCCGGGTCATACAAAAGATTTATAAAAATGGTACTAACAGCTTCCTTGCTCGGCACTCAGCATTAGGAGGTTAGTGTTAGGACTGGTCGACCGGAGTCAGCATAATGCGACTGGGTGAGACATTATGCTACATGAACATTGTACATTGTCACACTGTAGACATCGTGCGATATGACAGAAAAAAAAATGTTAAAGCTTACGCTAAAAATTTTAATCACACACACAGACACGCGCTCGCGTTTAGCCATTGAGCATATTTCAGCGAAGTAAGCGATCACGTGAACTTTGACCACTTTTTTTGTGAATTATTAATTTTTGTAGATATTGATGTTCTGTTCTAGAATCTAACGGGTTTGTGAACTTAATCAGGTCTTACAAGCAACCACTGCTGACATGTGATTCGTTAGTTCTTAGCTGTGGTGGACAGGTAGGTGGAATGGAGGTCGAGTCATTTTGTTACTAATATGCCCTTTGAAAAAAAAAAGGTAGGATTATACGGTCTTGCCCGTTTGGATGTGCGTGCGTTTATGTTGTCATGTAAGTGTACCTTGTGTAAAGACAGTGGTAAAGACTTGAAACTTTAAGATGCAATTGGGATCAGTTTGTGCACAATGGTTACAGAATTTTGATCCGAACTCCTCTGCTTGAGTTTAGGGTTGGAGGACTCATGCGCAATGTGTATAATGAGGTGATCATGATAACTGAGGAAAGCATTGGGAGAACGTTGCATGCGTGTATAGTTTCAATGCCCTAGCTTTTGTGCTTGAAAATTATTAATCTAAGTTTTGTTTTGAAAATATAGGTTCTTGGAGTGATTTCATCACTAGAGAAGAGAACATAAATTGATCATGAAATTTTAAAAATTTGTTCATGAAATATTTGTTGTAGGGTTTTAACGCCATTTTTCAGCACAATATAGGCTATACATGGCGGCCAGTATTAATGGTGGAGGAAGAACACTGGAAAACCCAGGGAAGAACCACCGACCTACGAGAAATATTTGTAACTTACGTATGATTCTTTAGCCATCGACACGTTGGATGTGCAACATCCAATGTTGGTTTTCATGAAATAAATTTTAAACTTCTAATAAAATGTTATCTGGTAATCATCGTAATTTTTACAGGAAGGAAAACACGCGAATTTAAGTTTAATACATGATTCATTCTACATGACGAATCCTTTATTTTTAGGTTTATTTTGCAAAATTGAATTTTGTTTTAAAAAGGGGATTTATCTCTGAATAAATCCTTGAATTATTTTGAAAAATTGCACGAAGCTTGCCTCAGTCTCCTAGACTGCATTTGTGGAAATATCCGAAAAATCTTTCAGGATCAAAATTGTTTGGTAGTTTAATAAACAAGAAGAAATTAAATGGTATAACATTTTATGGAATCAAATAACGCACACTACCGATAGTTAACAAAGTAACACATAGGACAATGCTCTTTGAAGTCTTTTGGATATCATTAAATATTAGTTGAAAATAAACTCTTCAAGTCTCTCCGAATCATAAAATAATTGCGCTTAGTTGTGGTTCGAGTCAGGTATGTATGACCCCGGGCCTGCTCGTGGCCCTTGTTTACATAAATCTTTAGTTCTTCTTAACTTACAGACTAACAGGCCTGGCATCCTTTTGAAAATCACTCACGATAACTGACAAACTTGAAATTCTTATACTTCCTTTGTTTTGAATAGTAATAATCGTATTTACACAAGCAGACATGTGCTGCCGCCACTTCCTTCAGTGCACAAGGGTATATACTATTTTGTATGTTCCACATCCATAAGGATTAATCACTTATAGGACTTCGACTGAGGGTCATAAGACTATTTTAGCTTTATAAAAGAAAGAATTTAAATTTCAGACGCCTTCTAATTTTGATTCCACAAAATAGATCAAGTTGACTCCCACCAACAGTCACAAACTTTGTGGCATGCACTTAACGGTAAGGAAGAACTCCATCAATTTCAGGTTTTAAAGATCAACACGGATGTAACTAGGACTGGACACCCCACCTCTTAAAACGAAAACCCCGTATGCACACCGACTCGAGTTCTCCGCTGTCTACAATTATCGAGCAGTGTGGGTTTTTTGAACTTGGAGTAAGAATGATCTTTATTGATTTCGGAGTCAGTATGTCAAAGGTCAGGATTACTGAAATGAAGAAAAATATTTCTGAACAATAACATTAATTGTAGATCAAACTTTGCGGTTGGCGTCCACTTGAATTAAGGATAAACTCGAATTTGGTTCAAAAAAGACAAGAGGTCAAGGTCAGATTGACAAAAGAAAAAATTGTTTCTGCACATAAATGTTATCAACAAGGTACTTTCGTCTATATTTTAATGAATTATACGTAAGGTAAGAAAGAAGCCTGTTGATTTTTGGCGTATAAAGGTAAAACGGTAAGGTCATTTTGACCGAAAAAGCAAATTATTTTCACCAAAGTTTGCACAGGCTTGAACTTAGGTTATGAAAAAGGTTTATTAATTTGGGTTTGAAAGGTCAGGATTATTATGGCTAAAATAAGTTATTTTAAGAGCAACTTTAGTTGTACAGTTCCTTGACCAAACTTTGTGTCTGACTTGCATATTAAGTAGTAAATAAAGCTATGTTTTCGGAGGTATAAAGATCAAAGTATGTCCGATAAGAACGTAATGGTCCCAACTAATTCAGGTTTACAGAAGACCCTGTATCTCGATTGCTCAGAGTGACGGCTTGGTCAGTAATTGTTAAGGTCAGCCATACCGTACTCGTACTTGCGACTTTTTACATAAGGTCGCGTATAAAAATGTGTGGTACCCTTGTTTATTTGATGAACAGAAAACGAATGGATAATTTAACAATAAGACAATGGAAACAAGCACTGGTTCCTTTAACTTGAAGAAATAAATATACAGGATCAACAAAGTGAATGTATGTGATATTTTTTTTTACGTTTGTAAAATTATTTTTATTTAGCTTTCATTCATGTTTGTAGGTTTAGTTGAGAAAGATTAGATGATAATAATTAATTGGAGGTATGAAACATTCAGAACGTGAATTATTATATTATTTTTGTAAAAGTATTTGATGCCGATGTTTTTGTCTGCATTGACCTGATGATTGTAAAATCATCACATACTTGTCGAGATATAGTGATTGAAATTCTGGTTGTATCAATGGTGAGGCTGAATGTGTGTGTGTTCTTGTGTGTGTGTGTGTGTGCGCGCGCGCGTGTGTGTGTGTGTGTGTGTTGTTTACTGATATTTAAGTGCAAGGTATAGTCTTATGATCTTAGAATGTTCTAGAAGCCTGATCTTGTTAGTGAAGTTTTCCAGAAAATAAATTTGCGTCTCGGACATGTGACAGTATATAAGAATGATATAAACAAAATTATTTATTCTTGTTTTTAATATCAGACTTTTGGGAATCAATGATTAGAGTTTTTAGTCTGGTCGTGTTCAGATATTTTACAGGAATCATTTATTTAAAAATTATTCATTGAAATTACAAGGTCTTCGTTGATATTTTGGACAAAAACGCTACTTTGGGAATATCGTGAATTTATTCAGTGATATTATGGGCTATATCCTTGTGACACATCAAAGCAATTAGTACATCAATACACGCAAGATACTTTTGGACATGTGATAGAGCATTAGAAATATTTGTGATTTTATTCACATTCATGTAAGCTTCTCTCAAATTTTCACTTTAAAAGTTAGAAAAATAAATTATAAATTATTTTTTACTTTACCAGATTTGTTGTTTTCGCCTCTTTCTGTTACTTTGTTTAAGTTATATCCTGTTTCTCATTGAACAACACTAATCTCTTATTATTTTAATTCTGAAAGATTTAATAATGTATTTCAATTTTAAAATTAAAACTAAATCAAAGCAAATTGAATCTTATTAAAGATAACTGATTAAAAAGAGCATCCTATATTGACAGCAAGTACAGCTCCGGTTAGTTGTTGATAAATTATTTTTTCAAAACTTTTATTATCAGCAAAACCAAAAGAATATCGCAGGTACAGATAATAATTTATGCTATGTGTACACAAGTCCATATGGCTAGGACATCTCCTTATTTTGTTTTTTCAAAAATGTTCGCCTTTCGATCTACCTTCGCATTGATTATACTGATCCACATGTGATTGTTTTGTTTGTAATATCCGTTATGAAAGGTGTGCGTGTGAGGATTGGTAAAGGCCTGGATGTTTACTCTGTGCTGTAGGTGCATGCTGTCATGAAGGGGGTAAGGGTGTACGAGTGGCATCGGTTAAACTATGTATTAAAATGAAGGATAAAAGCTAATTAATACAAAAAGAGAGAATGAATGAAAAGCTGTTTCCCCCTTATCATAAACTCTGTAATACAGCATGCTAGTAAATTACAACTTTTTTGTCCATTATCTCCCTTTATGTTCTTTTGTTTGTTTCTTTCCTGTATCGTTTTCATTTCTTACCGTCTAAAAGTAGTTTAAATGTCAAAAGGTAATCCATATGACTCGTACAACTTTGAATAATCCTCGAATCTGATGGGTTGTCCTGAAATGTCCTTACATTTGGTCTAGCACATTTATCTGATGGAATACACACATTTATGCTAAATAAATGACTTTTGAAATATAATTTTTTTAGCTCGTGGTCATAGACCAGAAGGACATAGGTCATAGACCAAAAGAACATATGAGATGGTTTGTTTGTCGACCGTCCGTCCTATCGTTCGTCTGTCCTTCCGTAAGCACAAGTTTGTTATCACTGCTTGGAGGATTCCCACGAAACCTTACACACACATTCATCCCATGCTTTACCTGGTCCTAAATGAAAATGTTGCTGCTCGTACATCTGTTACTACTGGATGGTCTTAAACTAAATAATATAAAAGAGCAAATATCAAAATTTTGTAAAATTCAATAAATAATTTATTTGCTTAGAATATAAAAAAATCGAAACTTCAAGGAGAACTTACATTAATGTGAATTAAGTCCCAACTAGTCGTTAAAGCTTTATCACAAGTC